AAAATTCACACTTTGATAATTCTACTTTATTTTATTCTTTATCATTACATTAAAATTTTTTTAGCTCGAAGCATAGCCATGCTCCTTTTGCAAAAATTCTTAGTTTGTAGATAGATATAATAACCGAATTGTATATAAAGAATATCTTTCGAAGGTCTGAGATGTGTGGTTTAAAGAAAAATAACTAAATAACAAATTATTTTAATTCTTACCTAAATCATCTCGGCGTTTATTTATCTTGTGCCATAACGAAATTGATAGCTTATTTCTTTTGCGCTTAACAAGATCGAAGGCTTTACTGCTTTAGCCATAAAAAGCTGATGAATTGCGTTTGATTCTTGGATTATTCGGTTATTTGATTTTTGATATTGTTTTTCATTATTTTAGAATAAACACAATTTTATGGTTGGGATTAAATATCATTTGAGTTTTTTTAGTACACATCTGTAGTTACTTTTGTTATTTGAATTAAAAGTTATATTTTGTTAGATTTGTTATTCTATATTGACCTTTACTTTGAAATTCATTAATTCTTGATTTCACAATTTCGTCGAAGATTGGCATAGGAGATCTCACTTCGCGTAAATCATTCAGTCTAGTCGCCGACTTTTGTTACTTCTACGGTTCGTTGATCAACCTAACTTTCGAATTGAGTATAACAATATAACCATAAACATCGTATTTTAGAGCAGTCCGAATCTATTTTTTGAAACTTGATTGTATTAGAAAACAGCAACTTTCGCTTTAAAAAATGTTTCGTTTTTATTGAATTTTGTAATGATTTTAATTCAATTTCTTCTCTATGTTAAATTTATTTTTTATGATAAAGACTCGACATCTCCGGTTATAATAAAATCGATTAACCGAATATAACCAATTACAAATATATCCGCTTTTTAAAAAATCACGATCCAGTTATAAATCGAAATCCCGGTTGATGTTCCAAACTCTACGGCTATTAACGCCCAATGATATTTACAAGTTACGAGTTTCAGAAGTCACGACAAATTACCCTTCTGGATGGACTTGTTACGTTACATGTATTGCGCCAAAATGAACGTGAAGTTTGAGATCTTCATTTTAGCATGGAAAATTAGTGGAACCATAATAAAATCAATTTTATGCAAGTATGTCAGAGCAATGATCCAATTAAACTCGAAGTTATATTCAACCACTATCGCTTATACTTTTTCTGTAAATGAAGGATAGACGAAATAAGCGAATAAGCGGCTTTTTTGGCGTGATTCATTGATACACATTTTATCAATAAGGTGATATCAGTTATACAATCTATGAGTCAACAGTTAATAAATTTTGTAAAATTAATTCATAATTAAAATACCAGAAAAAATAAAAGTCTGATAAGTCCGTGCGATCACATTACGCATGGATATACAGAAATCTATAATATTTTGGTGAATGGTATCATAAAACATCATTTCAAATTTAATATAAATACATGTATTTACATGCAGTATTAATCAGAATTTACTAAAGAAAAAAAAACCACACAACAGATAAATATTTTCAAGGTTAAGCATCCAGTCATATACTCTTTTTATATCTTCGCATCGTGGTTTGCTGTGCTAAAATTTCGTGAAATTTGAAGCTGCATAAAACTACGTGTATATCCATCTCTCTTCATTAAAAATAATATAAAAAAGGAATTTTCCTTTTATTGGTAAATTCAATCATGTGGAAAAAGAACAATGAAAAAAAATCAAAAAAATTCCAAACGGTTTTTTTTCAGAATAATGATTTTTCGAAAGGAAAGGGCTTTTTCCACTACAAACAACAATGTCTGTTAATTTAAACTCACGTTTTTGATAGATAGGAGCAAATAATACTTTTTTATTCCGAGAGAACAAAAGATTTATTATATAATAAAATTAACAATGTAAATTTAACAAACTGTGTAAAGATGTAAAACAAGAGCATTATCGTTTGTAATTTCATCCTATTCGTGATTGTCAACATGTCTATATTGCCCAAAAGAGAGAATTTGCGTAACCTTTTATTACAATATTTTAGAGATATTAAATCGGCCTCGGGGATAAGCACACTGATCAATATTTAAAAACGATTATTATATAAACTCGCGTAAATTTCGTTTTGGTAGTAGTTAGGATCTTTTTTTTCCTACTTCTTCTGATGCTTGCAACTTGCATATTTGCTTTCTTCCCCTTTTTAGTTCAATTCAATTAATCCTATTTTTCCAATTCATTAATTTCAATTCAATTGAATTCAAGTATTTTTATGCAACCAAATTAAAAAAAATAATATTTTTAATATATATATTCCATTCGTGGTTAGATCAAAAAAAGAAATTGTTTGTTTTAAAGTTTAACGTGTGCAGTGGTCGAAGAAGGTGGTCTCATTATTAGTGGAAGAAGATGAATGCACTGAACATTGTTCCAAATCAGTAAAACAAAGTTTAATCTATTCATTACGTTATCCAACGTTTGCCATTTCTTATTATATTGTAATCTTTTTTTGACGCTTGGATTTTTTTTATATTTACTTCTTTCCTCTTTTCTTTCTAACCATTTTTCTACACGAAGACTAAACATTTTAATTGCACACAACCTACTTACCTTACACTCTTTTCCTTGGTTCATATTAGGCGTAGTAGCATAAGTAGAGAATTCCCCCTCAATCCATTATTCTTTCGTCGTCGTCGTCGTCATCTTCTCTTTTTTGACTTGGACGTTTTTATCCTTCGCATTGTAAATAAACGTATAAACATACCATTACGACAAAAAAACATAAGAAAACGAATTACAATCCAACCATAAGCTAACAAATATGCATATGATAAAAAACCTTAAAGCGATATTACACGTTATTATTACAGTCTCCTCTTTAATAAATGCGGTGGAGAATGCAGAGACGTCGAAAAATGTATCATCACCATCATCATCATCATCATCATCATCACCATCATCAATAATATCAGCTACATTATCATGGTCACCAACATGGTCACCATCAATAACACAAACTCCGATACCAATAATATCTCAGACGACTTCGACAAATTCTCAGCAACTACCAGAACGACCAACAGAACATACACGACCAACACAACAACCACAACAGCAAAGTCAACCAACAACCTCCGCTATACTTAATGATAATACTACTGCTACTACTTCTAACATACCTGATAACACTGAACCTGCCTCACCCACAGATTCCACCGATAATTCTTCTCCAACCGACTCTTCAAACACAGATGGGCAACAAAATGCTTTGAGCGATGATCAAGTAAACCTCATAATCCAATTTAACATTGATTTGAGTATAACGAGTATAATAGGTGGACTACTAGTGCTATTAGTCATAGCTTCAATGTGGCGTTATGATAAAAAATTAGTGAATCGAGTATCTCTACGATTAACCGCCGTCATTTCCTTTGTTGACGTATTGAACGCCATTGCACTCATAATTTACACTAATTATACACCTGACGATACACCTTTATGCACGGGAATCGCTGCCGCGTTGTCTTTTTTTCCTCAAGTTTATTTATTTCTGACTGTGATGATTGCATTCAACCTACAGGTACGTGATCATTATTATCATTGAGGATCAATAGTAAATTTGATGATTAACCTTATTTTTATTTTTTACATTTAATCAGTTGGTTTTCTTACACCGACGAAAAATCTCAAAATTCTCGGATCGTTGGTATATTCCGGTAGCTATTCTTGCTGCTTTAGTGTGCAATGTCCCACCCTTGGTACTTAATCGATTTGGATTCGATGAAGCATCAGCAGATTGCTATTATCGTGATAGCAAGAGCACCGAGACTTTCTACTGGATATTATTCGCGTTCATCATACCAATTCTATTCGCGATGGTTTATTGCACGGTAGTATTTGTCATCGTGGTGTTCAAGATTGTATTTGAAAATAGAAAATTGGCCGAGACCGTCCAGACTGGAAGTGCCACATTGTCAATGAAAGCAAAAAAACAAAAACTGCTCGTTTTGAGATTGGCCAGTCGAATATCACTGTACGCGTGTATTCCAGTTTTGAGCGTTGCCGGTATCGTTGTGATGTTTATTTGGTCAAATCTAGCAGTTGGTGTTTTTATTCCTTACTGGGTTACTCTTTGGTCGGTAATTGGTTCGAGTCTTCCAGGTATTTATGAATTGATAATTTCCATTGATCTTTTTGATTCTCCATTGTTCATTTGACGATATTCTGATAATCATCACCATCTTCATCATTATTATAGGTACATTGAACTTCATAGCATTTATATTTGATCCAGCAGTTCATAATGCAGTTAAAAAAGTGCGACGAGAGCTCGTACGAAAATATGGATATCCCACAGATCAAATGGGGTCAACAACGTCAAGATCAACATTCAGTCCACCACCATCCCCATCAATTCCAATATCTCCTTCATTTCGAATGTCAAATGCTGATTCATTTGTTCCGGGTTCACGAGGCTCAACCTCGCATTTAATGCCTCCAACAGTATCCATGACGCGAGCTTCATCTCTTAATCCAGCGCATAAAGATTACGGCATTATATCAAGACTTGGCAATCAACAACAACAGCAGCAGCAGCAGCAGCAGCAACAAGAAGGCAACAATAGATTTATGATCTGGTTTGTGCGTAAATTCTTGGCTCCGAAACAACGTGTCAGTAATCCAATGACAACAACTATCTCAAGTGCCTCAAACGGCTACAATTATCCTCGATCGCAACGTGAAGGTCATCGTCATTCCGTTGCTGACACATCGAGTCGAGCTGATAACGATTCTGATTTAATTGGAGTCGCGATTTCAACCCCTGATAATACAGTTTCAACTGCTGCCTCGAGTTACGCGACTTTTGACAGTAGTAGTAGGTTAATGGGGCATAATAATGATACGATCGCATCTTTTCATAATCGATATGATCGCGAAAATTCAATTTATAGTCAATATTATTATTCTTCGGAAGATGTTGAAGCCATGGGGAATAGTCGTCCTTCTAGTTCAATAGATGACGAATCTGAATGGGAACAATACGAGATGACTGCATTATAAATATCAGAATAAAGGTGCCGGAATTTTTTGATTTGGATCAATTAAATTTATCTCCTCTCTTCACGTGGAACATTCGATTATATATTAAAAAAGATTTAATTAAATGAGTTTCATCATTATCACATTATTGATAGAGAATAAAATATAACGATAGATATCATTGTTCGACCTTTACACGCACGCTATATTTATTTTCTGTAATTTCGTTTTTTTGACATTTTTTGTACATAAATCATAACATAATTTTTTTTACATTCATCATCTTTTTGTAACATTATTTCCTCGTCTAGATAAAACAAATAAAAAAGTTGCACACAACCTATAAAATTGCAAGTAACACAAAAATTTTATTATAGATTCACAAGATTAATAAACTATTAGGATATTCATTATCGTTATACATCTTCACCCTGCATTGGCCTAGAACTTTTTGGGCCAGATTTGGCTTTTATCGAAGCCACATTGATGAACTATATATATAGCGTCATCGTACTCTTATTGGTTGCTGGATTTTGCTATTCGTTATCACTATAATACTGTCTCGTGACGTAATAGTAGTTGCAGATCATTATATGATCCGAATTCTACAAGAAATATCAAGATAAAGTTAGATATCTCACGCGCGTCGTCTTTTGACCTCATGAATCAAATAAATTTGCAAACATGGCTCAAAGAAAGTCTGATAGTGGCAAATGTATGTACGCACTCATAATTATATCAATAAAAGAAATGGGAGCTGTTTTCGTTATTTTACTAATCGTAGCATGTTGAACATTATATCAGTATCAATATCTTGATCGAGTTTTGAGAGACGTCGAGGAAACAATGATGCTCTATAAAACACTTCTCCCAAAATTTGAATCATACAGTGAGTTGTTAAATTTAGGATTAATTAATTAATAAATATACTTATCAACATATTATACATTCAGCATACGAGACAGGCAACTGTCAACTGCTAGTATGTCTATATGGCACGATACCAATAACATATCGTTCGAGTCCCTATTACATTCAGGTAGCATTCTGGATTCCAACGGAATATCCACACAGTCCACCGATTGTGTTTGTAGTTCCAATGTCGAATATGTTAATTAAGACGGGAAAACACGTTGATCCGAATGGCAGATGTAATCATCCTTATTTGACATGTTGGCAATCAAGGAGTGAGGTGCTTTTTTATGATTACAATTATCATTATCATTATCATTATCATCATCATCATCATTATTATTATTATTATTATTATTATTATTATTATTATTATTATTATTATTATTATTATTATTATTATT